ACTGAGAAGAGAAGGGGGAAGTGTAGAGACCTGGAACCGGTCTTCTCCCCCCAGATGGCGTATTTGAGCGCTGCGATAGTAAACAAATTGTTCCGAATAATAATAAAATTGGTAAAAAGAGAAGAAAAAAATTGTTAAAGAAACTTTTTAGTCTCATTCAGTAAATGAGATTTAATAAACAGCGGCTGTTGCTTGTTGGCAATCGAAATGGACTGCAGGTGGCGTAGAGCAGAACTCTTTACCTATCGCATGCTTTCCCCATTAGCGCGTGGAGAGTCACAGAGGAAGGAAGTACGTTAGTTTCTCTCTTAATTTTCATATAGATTAAAATCTTTTAAGTTGGAAAACTATATGAGACTGAAAACTACATTAAACATAGTTCCAACGAAAAGTATCACGGAAATTTTAAAAAATATTTTTATTAAATGTAAAGGAAAAATGTTAAGAAAAGAGAAAATATCGCAGTGCATTCCTATACAACTGAAAAGAGGACAAGAGGGAAGGGAGAAGGGCCAAAGGCATGAAACCGGTCTCTCCCCAGATGGCGCATTCGAGCGTTACAATCGCCAATTGTCTGCCAATCAGATGAATGCGAGGTGTCTGCCATACAATTATTTTCTGGCGTATATTTTTCTAAGTAAGCTAAAAGCAAATAAAGTAATTTTTGTTATTGTATAAATTCCTATTCTTAAGCATACCATGTAAATAATAATTATTTTGGTCATTTCGTTTAATTTTAAACTTTTTTACATCAATTTTCGTTTGTAGTTTCTGATTTATATATATATATTCTTGATATTGGGGATATTATCTGAAACTTGATATGATATCTTTTGTCAGCTGAGATAGATCTTTTACAATTGATACGAATAGTTTCTCGCTTTAATACTGATGCAAAAAATTATGCTTAATTAATTCTTTGAATAATGTAATTGCAAATAAACATCATTTAAATAAAACATTTTCCTGTTTATTCAAAAACTGGGTGATATTCATGCTGTGATAACTTTTGTTCAAATTTTAGGGATGTGTTTTGCAAAGTGTGTACCATATTCTATTAAACAAATTATTAAAAGAATCACTGAAAAATGTAATGTAAATAAATTAATAAATTATTCATTATAATTATGCATTGGTGACTGCTTGTAATTAGATATAAAATCTTTTAAAATGCATAATTCTTTTTTTCTCTCATAAGTAGCTTTGTTTATACTGTTCTGGTGAAAAATTCTAAAGGAAAAATTATATTTAAATAAACTGGTTCATACTAAAATAAATTCTTGTTCATGCAGTGCTTGATCATATAAAAATTTATTCAGTATGTGTAACAGAACATTAACATTTGATGATAGTTTTAATAAACACTCCCCTCTCAGTATTCCAGAGAAAACTTATTTTTGCTATCTATGTAATAAAACATTTGCACAAAACTCCAGTTTAAAAAGGCACTATCTTATTCATAAAGGAGATAAACCTCATGCATGCTACATGTGTGAGAAAACACAATATTTACAATTTAGCTTAAATAAACATTATTATTACTCATGTTGAAATGAAACATTCTATTCACACTGGAAATAAATATTTTAAGAAAAATCTCATTTAATCAGAAACTATCTAGTTCAGGGGTTTCCAACTTGTATGTAGCCGGGGGCCGCAATTAAAAGTACTGGTCAAATGGCGGGTCACAACTTTATCAAAATTTTATAAAAGACTCTTTTATGTTTGGAGGAACATAAAGTATTACTGTCAGATTTTTATCAAGTTGTACAAAAAAAAAATATTGAATTACAAATTAAAATAAGAAGTAGATTTTTAAAAATATTTAATTGCATATTAAAAAATTCTTGCTACAATAACTTTAATGTGCTCCTATGTATTAAACAATTAATGTGCAACAGACATCAAACTGCCAAGATATAAAACTTAAAAGTATTTAAAACCCATATTGATTTTTTACGAAATTTGTCCACAAAAAATGAAAACTGATATATTTTTGTTCACGGGCCACAAAAAAAGGCTTCGTGGGCCGGATGCGACCCGTGGCCGCCAGTTGAAAACCACTGATCTAGTTCATACTGGAGAGATTGCAGTGTGTGTAAGAAATCATTCTGACAGTCAAGCAGTTTCAAAAAATAAACTTCTCTCATTCTAGAGGAAAACCTTATTTGTGTGGTGTGTGTAATAAAACATTATTCCTAAAAACTCATATAAACCAACACTCTTTTTGTTCATGCTGGTGAGAAACCATATAAATGCAATGTACGTTATAAAACCTTCTCTGAAAACTAATTTGCGTAAGCATTCTATTCTTCATACTGGAGAAAAACCATATTAATGCAGTGTATGTGATAAAACATTCACGCAAAAAACTAATGTAATGTAATAAACACTGTAGAGTGTAGGCATTTGTAATTCTTTCTAACTTCATATTGTTTTGTGCATGGACAAGTCAGATACAATGTTTTGTTTAAAAAATATCAGTTTGATGTACACAATTAAAAGTAGAATTAAAGAATTAACTCTGAACATATAATTTAAATTGTCATAATTTTAAAGCTGGTTGTTTTATTCCTCCTGTATACGGTAAGTACATTTTGTTCCTATTGGCCGTATACTTGTTTTGTAAATGGAAACATCCTGTCACTAACTTAATTTCTATGCTTGTATTTGGATATAGCGAGTCATTGTACAGGGGTCTGTCCAGGCCGAATTTACTACCGTTTAGCGGTACCTTCACAAATTCAATTTTAGGTAAAACGGTAGTTTCAGAAATTCAACTTTAGGAAAAACAGTAGTTTCACAAAATACTTTTTCTAAAATTTTATTTTTGTATCCCTTAAGAAACGATAAATCTATATTTTAACCATGTTTTTGTATTGATTTTTTATGTAATTTTTAATTTTTCATAAATTATGTCTAAATTTTTACAAAATAGGTACCTTTCACAAAAACCTAGACAGACCCCTGTTGTATTATTTTTATAAATCTATAATTTTGATTATTTTTAGTGTTCACCTTATTCCAAATTTAGTGATACTAATCTATTCAACAGTGTCCTCACATAGTGTGATCACTGAACTTATTGGATTATTGCTATTCCACGATTGTTTTGTACTACCATTTTTCCTAAACAATCACATTCCCTTAATTTAATTACTGTAGACTCTATTTTTGAACTTAGTTTGTTTGTCATTTACTTTGAAATTGATTATTGTTTTTCTCCATTTAATGACAATGGCCAAATAAAATTTTGTTTTATTGTGATATTTTATCTGTTATATTATCCCGGAACCATTATTTCAATCATCCCATATTTGATTTTGCAACAATTTTTATTTTTATCACCCTCCTAGAAACCCACACTCCCAGTCCCAAACTCTGAAAACCATTTAATTAGTTTTAATAATTTTAACTTAATTTTATATATATATTTATATATATAAGTCATAATTATAGTAGTAATTTTGCGTGATTTAATTTCTAATAAAAATATCCAAGTTTTTGACATGTCATAGTAAGAATCAGTTTCTTATCTCAAAAAACCCAACCCTGACAATTAATTCCACAAACAGGGTTGCCACAGGCAACTAAAATGCGACTATTTGCAACTATTTTCGGTTTAAGGCGACTATGGCAAATTTTTTTGCCTGAAAAGTATTAAAAAGCAACTATTTTCAGAAAAAGGAAACTATTGTGAGACTTCTGTAATCCTAGCAATGTTTTTAGCATAAATTGGGGTGGCAACCTGCGGCCCGCAGGAACACAATGAATTCTTTTTTCTTAAGAAAATAAAAAAATTTCAATTGCAAATTTGAGTCATCACTTTGTAACGTTCTTAATTTGCAATGCAATCTGTTTCTAATACAATATTACGGTGCGTGAATTTTGCATTTGAGTGATCACTTTTCACTATATCAATTATTGATAAAAGGGAAAAATTTTTAGACAAAGTATGCTTTTTTTTTTAATGAAAAAGTATTTTTTTTGTCTGAAAATATACAAATTTTTTTATATAAAAATTTAATGCTAAAACACTAACGTTTGTATAAAAATTACCTATCATATTTGCCACCCACTTGATTTAATGGATCATGATCAGGGGTGCCACTTTAAAAAAATTTCAAGGCTGAGCTTATTTTTTGATCAAATAATACTGTAACATTGTTTACCAAACTTTTAGAAATTTATAGCTCACTGACAACAAAATTTACCTTTCCATAATAATAGCCTACATATTAAATCAATCATTTGATTATTTTTTCTAAAATATTTTTCGTTATTTTATGTTTTTTAGCAAACAAAACAAAAATAATAGCTAACCTTGTATATTTTTTTACATTACTGAACAACCTGAAACCATTCATATCTCTATTTTTCATTTCACCGATACTTATTTTTTGTTCTAGCACTATAATTTCTTTCTTTTTTAAAAAAATAATCTTGATTTAACTTTGGCCAGCATGACAATAGGTTAGGGTGGGGGAAGCAAACTCGAGCAGAATTAGATTCATCAATAGTACAAATTTAATTACACAAGTAGATGAAGTTCAATCAATCCCATTTGTCAAGACTTTAAGAATAAGATTTAGTGAAGCTGACAACAAGAAGATAAATAACAGTCCTGACATCATTACCATATCATTTGTTTTCATTAATATATAATATTTTTTTATTTTGACCAAAAAAATTTTTAAATTTCTAATGGAAAATTATTTTTTTTTAAATTTGATAGAATTTATTTGTTCATTGATTTTTCTCAGAACTGATTTCAGTCCCCAGGACTGAAGAGTGCATGATATATGACAATTTAGTTACATTATTGAAAAATTTTTGTTCTTATTTAGGCAACTATTTTCATAGTTTTCGGCATCTATTTTTATGGCAACTATTATTTAAGCTACTAAAAGCATATTTTGCCCATTTTTTTTCTGTGGCAGCGCTGACATACCAACAATGTGTAAGTGTAAAATTTAGAAAAATATGAAAATTGCACAAAAGAACAAAAAAAAAATCACATTTTATTTACAAAACAATTGACACAAAAGTCATGGCACAAAATGAATAGTAAATTATACAAATGAAATCCCTTCTTTTTACACAATGAATAAACTTGAATATTTAAACTTATGAATGAATAAATATTCAATGAGTATTTACTAATTTTGTACTAGAAATTTTTCTTAAAACGTCTATAAACCTTCGTAACTCCAATTTAAATGTCAGAATAAAATTTCAACAAATATATATACTTTGCACATTGCACTCGTAAACAATTCAACAGGTAATATACTTTTCAGATAAAACTTTGAAATGCAAATAAATAAAATAAAAGTGGAATGGTTTTTAAATTTTTTGAACTTGCAAACATAAGATAATGTAGTTATAATAAAATAATTCTCACAGGTATTAACAATGTATGCATTGTGTAATACTAAAATTGAAAAGTATAGCAGTTTAAAGAAATATAATAATAATCACTGATGTGTTTAGGCATCCATAGTTTTAATCACTTGCTAAACTACATTTGAATGCCAAAAAGTTAAATGATCTTTAATGATAATAAAAAATTACACTTCTTTGAAATCAATTTACTAGCTTAGTAGTACATATACACATAAGCAGAATGTAATTGATAGTAATTAAATAGATAGTGGATGAAGGAGGTTACATTTTTCAAATATTTGAGTTATCACCTTACATAAAAAATTTATGGTTTTAAAACACTGACATCACTGTAACATCAAACACTGGCACATAACTGTAGAAGCTTGAGTAACAAAGATAACTTCATGAGGTTATCATAACATAACTCCATGTAAGTAAAGGTCAGGAGAACTTTAAAATTTTAAGAATTTTCTTATTATAACATACCAGGTCTGAAAATGTCTTGATTAAAAAATTGGAAAATTTATAGTTTTTCTCAGCAGTGCCATCTGTTGATGAATTTCATAACAAATCGTGAAACTTGGTGACAATAAAATATCTTGTTTTCTAAGTAGAAAGCGATAAGCCTTACAATTCCATCTCTTTTTCTTAAACTGGTTTTTCAAATTTTCTTATTTTTGACAAACCTGGTACCTTCCTCATCCATGTACTTTTTTCGATTCTGAGTACAAGCCTAACAGTTTTATATTTAAAGGAACTTCAACAGTTGGAATTGATAGCATACTTTTTCACCTTACACTTTACATTTAGAACAGATATTTGAATATTTCTTAGTGTTCCATTACAGTGTCCATGTTATGATAAAACAGACACAAAAAAATTTATTTGGAGTCTGTAAGATGTAGATAAAAGATAAAGCCTCACACAAAAGTTATAGAGTTTTGATAGCTAAACATAAAATTTTTTTAACATCTGTATAAAAAAGTATAAATTAGAGTAACAGAAAAATTGATTGTTGCAATATTATCAATACCTTTTGGAGTTCATTTTGGTAATTTATCTAAATAACGAATTTATTTTCTTCATATTTTTTTTTAAAACACCAAAGTTTGCAAGCACCATATGAAGGTAAAGTTTAGAAAAATATGTATTGTTTTTTAACTCTTATCAAAAAAATATGTTGTTCCATAAAAAATTTCCTTTCTTAATCTATATATATTAAAGTAATTCAGCTGTTTAATATTATTAATAATAAGTTTATATAATTAATAAGCATTAAAAATAAATTTTTGTATTAAAAATATAGCATCAGAATAAATAAAGTTTCAAACCTATTTTTGCCGAATAACATCGATATATATATGCTAGTTTTCACTTCTTAAAAGAAAAACTTCTAAAATTACAGAAACAATTTTGAATAAATCTGATAAAAAATAAGTGCCTTTGATGTATTTATAAAAAATTAATTAGGAGTTTTTTTTTTCTATTCCTTTGAAGATTCTTAAGTCAGGCTGTATTAGTGTGAAAAGGAATGCAGGATAAGAAACAAATATGGATTGTACATTTGTAGCCCTTTCCATTTTTCCCACTAAGGAAAAATTCACATTATTTGATATTAATTTTTTTAACAGATTTTGCAAAGAGATTATAAACTGTACCATGTATTCTAATATTTATAAAACCTCTTTGATAAATTTTAAATTTTCTTTGCAAATTTAAAACCAATAGTTGACTAGCTTAAGTACATAAAAATTATTTTATAAAGGTAAATTTAACAAAATAAGGTAATTTTAGCTAAGTAAAATGCTTGCAGCATTAAATAATCTAGAAATATTTAGCCATAGTAGCAGAAGGATGCAAATTACAGATATACTTGCATGTAATAACATTTTTATAGTAGAAAAATTACTGATAATTGTAAGCATGATAAATTTATAGGTTAAAAGTATTTGTCAATAAATAAATAATCATAATTGGACAGATTTTGTTCTTTTTGTTTTATAATAACCTTATTATGTTTTTAAAATCAAAAATTTAAACTGATAAAATCACCAACTTTAGAACAAACAAGTTAAATCTTTCAAGTTTAAATATCTGTTAACATTTAAACATGAGTGACAAACAATTAATCATTTGATGAGCTAAATGAAAGAACATGTTAAAGGTCATTTTAGGAACATTAAAAGATAATAAAAACCAGGTTATAGTAACATATATTAGGAAACATATTTTAATACTATATTCCCCTTATTTATGTTAAGCAAATTAACATATCTTAAAGTAAATATTCTTAAATTTTTATTAAAATATAAATAAATGATAAAATTTAATGGGGTCAATCTAAGAGTTTAAAGTGTTACAGTAACTAAGTAGAGTGCAGAGGTGTAAGAATGCTTGCTGCAAACTCAGCGATAAGATGCCTCAGAAAAGAGTAGTGTAATAATGTTATCTTAATCAGTTAAAAGAGTTAAAAAAGCCAACTTAATTAAAACAACGACATATATTTATAAAAAATTGAATCCATACTTTAAAATCATTTTGATACAGATGCATGCAGAATTTATTCTATGGTGAAAAATTCATTATTTCAATACGTAACAAAAATTAGTAGTAAAAAATATTTACATTTTAATAACCTAAAACTTCATTATTAAATTTCTTGGAAAGTCAAATTTGTTTTTTCTTAAAATATTTTGCTTAAACTATTTATCGAAATAAAATATTAATTTTACAGTTTAAATAATTCGAACAGATTTAAAGTCTTAGTGTCATCAGCTGTCGATTGAATGCCCTTTTTGGCTGGAGCCATTGTGTTTTTCACCCCACACGACCTGCCACTGCAGTTATGTTCAGAACTTGCAAAATCCAAGAGTCTATTTCATGAATATAAAAGTTATCTAGAGTTTAATGAAGTGGTTTTAAATTTTAAAAAAATATCAATATTTTTTAAATAGCTAACTACACAGATCATTTTCTAACTTTAATAAAATGGCCTGTAACATGTTTTTTCCACTGAGCTTTCAAATTAACAGCACTATGAGTTTTATGAAACTATACTTCACATATCTCTGATTCCATTTTAGGCAAGGGCTTCAATAAATATTTTAAGGGTCCACTAATTTTAGAGATATTATTACCATTTAGGGTATATATTTTGCCACCAGAGAATGTATCTTTGTTCCTTAAAGGAACTACCTTCGGCGAGGGATTATTTTTCGGAACAAGAACTTCTTGTAACATTTTCAAATCACTTTTATTTGAAGGCGTGATATAGTTTTGGTCGAATTCTGTACAAACATCACTTGGAAAAACAGATAACGACACATTCGAATCTACACTGTTTGGCACACACGTTTGCGTTCGTTCTAATGAAGAAAAATTAGAAAATGGCACGTAACCATTTCTGTTGAGGACTGGAGTTAATAAAATTTCACTGCAACCAGATGAATTGGATGATTCTGATTCTCTGCTGTCATTGAACTGACTCGACTGAAATGAAGTTTTGTGATCAGGCAGAGAGTTTGTGCAATCATTTTGAAAATTTCTCTCACATGCATCGGAGAGAACACTGACAGAAGGTGATTTATTAATACTCGCATTAGTAGAATTTGAAAGATTGTTAAAAATGGATGAGTTATGAAGGTCTATTAGATGCTCATCATGAGCATCAGTGAGGTAAGGAGATTTTTCATCAATCTTCATGTCTTTCATGATCCACGACAAATGATTTTCATCACTTTGAAATGGCATAGAGTCAATGAATTCCTCTACATCGGCAGAAACATCCGAACATTGATTCACTGAATTCGAATCATTTGCGCTCCTCATGTCTCCAATAGATACATAACCAGAGGGCTGCTTTGGTTGCTCCATATCAGCAGCAACTACTTTTTCAACAGTTTTAAAATAAAAATTGGGCAAGTAAGCATCTTTCGATGAATTCCTTGTAAGCTTTTTATTTTTTGACATTCCTTTGCCAAATGGATGATCAACCATTGCCATACTGACCGTATTATCAAAGTTCACCATACCCGTGGCGTAGTAATTTTTCGGAGGTGCAAAACCAAATTTTGAATAGCCTTTGCTTGAGAATGTATTCCCCAAAATATCACCACTACTTTTAGCAAGACCAACCTTAGAATAGGGAGCAACTGCAGGTCCATTTTCAAACTTCTGAGATTCAAATACAGATGGTTCACTATTTGCAAGATTGCAGCTGTAAAACGCAAAAGAATTGCTTCGCCACGGAACGGTTGACGATACGCCAGAAATACCGAATTTACTGTAAGGATGCTCTTCTCTGAGGGAAATGAAATTGTGTCTGCTTGATTGAGGGAATGAAAAGGGTTTCCTTTGTAATTCAGAGTTTAAATCTAAAGATTCTTGCTCAATCAAAATAGGCAATGGAGGTTTTTGAAAATTATGAGCACTGTGCTCCATTAAAAGTGAATCAGGAGAAGCTGGAATAGGAATATCTGATTCTGCACCTGAATCTGATGAAAGTTGTATTCTAGTAGTAGTATTTGAAGACATACTGCTGCAACCACTGCTATCACCACTTGGTTTCCTGCCAAATTTCGTACACCTCCCATTTTTGAAAACCAACTAAGGAACATAAAGTTAATTAACTACATGACATTTACATGCATAAAAACAAAAACATAGAAGCATGCAACATTTAGTAGATGGTTCTCATAAAGGTTAAAAATAAATATGAAATCGAAATATTTTTAAGAATAAATTTGAAAACTCTTATTATTCAATTTATTAAGCAAATTTTAGAACATCCTTTTCAGCTGGTTTAAACAAGGATGGAAAATTATTGTAAAAATTTTTTAATAGAATAGCTTCCACTAATTAATAAATAAATTTTAAAAATTTAAGTTTTTTAATTTACTTACATTTCAATGAAAACTAACTACTACAAACAAAAAATCTTATAAAGAAAAAAATATTTTCTAAGATTTAAGACTTGTAGCAAAAATAACAAAAAATTTACAATTTATGGTAAACATACTAAAGCAAAACGTATGTCCTTAATAATCAATTTTGTTTGAAAATTTAGCTACATTTATTACTAAGTTCCCTTTTTTTATAAACTATAAAATAATTGAATACAAAATATTTATTGTGAAAAATAATAATAAAGATTTATTTAAAATTTCAATATGAAATAATTTAGAGCGAAGAAATGATACTTAATTCAAATCATTTCCAAAAAACTCAAATTTTGACTTATGGGAATCCTAAGCTTCCATTTATTAGCTTGATTACTTTTAAACTTAAAAATAAGATTTAAACATACATATTAGCATAACATAAAAAAATAAAATAAAAAACTGCAGGCATAAAGGAGGAAAATTGCTCATTATTTTTTTAAAAAACTCTCAATCCCATTATTATAGAAATCATCTTGCATTTTAAAGTAAAAGTTTTTATGTGATGTGTCTGATTTCTAAGAAAACCTTATACAGAGTTAGTTGTGCAATCTTGACTAAAATTGATTAACCTATACATCCAAAGGAGTGTATTCCAATCAGCTATAAGATATATTGATTCTGATATATTTAATTCGTTTTAACTAATTCATGTGCAGTGCACAAGAAAAAAAACTAATCACCAAAAATAACTTTCAATCTAATGGTCGGATCTTCACATACTAAGACTACATTCAATGGTTCAAGGGGGTGACCTCTAATATACATAATTAGTGCACACAAAATTTCAAGTTACCAAATCAGACACAAAATGCACATTCTCTGAATAAACAAATATTTTTGACAAATTTATATTCTGAGCCACAATCTGAAGAATATGGTTTGGTCAGAAGAGTGGTCGAAAGTTTAGACTTCTTAATGTTAATTTTACTTTTTGCGTATTTTGAAATGTATCTTGGAAATTTAAGCAACTCTCAACATTTTTGCACACAATTATAATATTCATTTATACAAAGATAATTCCATGCAGAAAATAGTTTTTAGTAATTGTTTTTACAATTTCATTAAGTAATAATAGACACATTTTTTTAGTTGAGACGTATAAAATTTCAAAGAATGAAATTTTATGTGACAAAATAAAAAATTTAAATGAAATCAGTCAAATAGTTCTTGAGAAATGGAACTTTAAATATACGACTTTTTTTTTTTCAAAATTTAGTTCTCCGAATTTATTTGAGAAATTTCGCTCAAATTCAATGATGTGAAAAACTGTATTCAAAATTGAATTACAATTCAAAAATTTTTCAACCACTATTAAATAATGTAACAATAAATAATTATTAATAACTATTTTTGCATAAAATATATAATTGCAACAATTTAATTAATTTTTTTCATTCTCAAGATATGGCAAAATGCGCAAAGAGTAAAATTAACATTAAGGGGTCTAAACTTTCGACTGCTGTCCTGACCAAACAATTGGGACCATATTTTCTACTTTGTGGCTACTCCCCATATTTTAAGGGTTGGAAATCCAAATTCATAGAAAAAAAATAGGTATACTTAGTCATAGAAAGTATGTTTTTTCACTTATTCTGTAACTTAAAATATTGACTACACTAATTAATTAACATATTTGAGGCCAGGCTGTCAAAACATTAAAATTTAGTCTTGATAACTTAAATCCTGATCTTTACATCAAAAGTTATTCAGGGTGTTCCATTTTTTTATTTTGTGTACTGTATATGAGAGAAAGGCTACTAATAATTTATACATAGAATTTTTTTTAATTATTAAACATTCAAATCTAGAGTATTCAATTAAAACGTAGTAAAAATAATTAATAATAAAATTTTTCTCCTCATCTGATACCATTAAAATAAAGCGAAAGATTTTAAGCTTTTATTTAAAAATACATATAAACTAAAGTACAAGTATAAACAAAGCTAACTTAAAGCAACATTTATAAATGCTTACTAGTCTAACAAGTAATTTCGGGCAAATAGAATAAATACCATTTTAATTTGTTTTAGAGCATTAAATTTATCAACATTAGGAAAACAAATGTGTAAAAAACTATAGAAACATAATAAAAAAATATCAATGTCCATAATTAGCAAATATAAAGGCTAAAATTTTAACAAATAAAGATTAAACTAAGCATCTATAAAAAAATGAGAACCATCTAAAAATATAGATATGAAACATAATGAAAAATAAAATATTACAATCAATGTAAGCAGAAACATGGTTAAGGAGAAAAAAAAAGGTTTAATTCCTATCTTTAAAGCCATAACAATTTTTACAAACATAACTCATAATTAAAGCTCCTGAAAGTAAAATTGCATGCAAATACAAAAATCAGGCATTTATATAATTTTTAAAAAAATAGAGGCAAATTAATAAAAAATAAAATGCTGGTAGAGCAAAAATAAAATTACTGAAAATGCTACCATGCTATAAATGTTTTTACAATTCTTTCCCACTACTTATAGTAGTTAGTGGTGAAATTTAATTCAATATTCTAACGCATTGTGGTAAACAAACTAATTTTTAATCAATTTTTTTTCAGCTAGGGAAATTGAATTAAAAATATAAATAGTTGTTTAGATCTTAGAGTAGCAATTTAAGCATGCAATGAAAAAAATTTATAAAATCATCATTAAATTATACAATTAGATTTCACTTCATATAGAAATGTGTTATTTTAAACTCTTAAAGCATTCAAAAAATTCCAGCACTAGATTTAAAATTATTATAGAAATATAAATATTGTTTCTTTGTGTTTAAAAGATTTTACTCATTTTGTTTTATGACTTATAAATTAAAGAAATATTTCTTGCCATTATCATTTCTTTTTTAAAACATTCGACAAAGACATTACCATTTTCTTTCTAAAACGGTACGTCAAATTAAAAATGCATTCAATAAAGTGCTTGCAAAAAAAAGTTATATGCATGCCATTAAAAATAAAAGGTATATCTTTCTAAAGAAATTTATCATTTATTAAAATTTAAAAAAAAAATAATTTTTTTTTAATAATCTTGAGCAGATAAATTTTGATCTAAACCTATTAAAAATAAATAGTATAGTTAATCTGAATAATTAAACTGTTACAGCACAATCTGTTTGTAAATTAGTTGTAAAAAAAGTAATTTTTTATTGAAACATAATAGAGGAGTAGAGAATATTCTGTTCGACATATTTGACAGGAAACCCCATATTTGCTAGATTTCTTATAGTTACCTCATCAGCTGATGAGTTACTGAACTGAGAGCTCCCAGATCCATGTCGATTTTTATTTTCACCCTCTTCAAATACATATGATAATCGATCAATTTTAGTGTTTGGGTTCTTTTGAGCAAGACCATTTTTGAAACTTTCATAATTACTCAGAGGATTCTGAAAACAAAAATCGAATCTGATTTACTTGAACAAAATATAACTAAAACACAGAGTTTACATGTAGAACAGAATAAAGTTAATTTATAGGAATGCACCATCTCACAGGGGATAAAAGTAACCCTTGAATAGTCAATGTGCGGCCTCTAACTTTCAAACAAAAAATGTGTTTGAAAAAAAAATCTCAAAACAAGAATATGAAATTTTACAGGGCTCGAAAAAACTCAGAAATTTTACCCGTCCCCGAGGACGGCTTGTCCAACAAAGTACCCGTCCTCCTTTGAGACTAACCCGTTGCTTCTAAATAAATAAAAATATAATTTTCTCTCATTTATTACAAACCTTTATACAAATTGCACAATGAATTAGCAGTTACTAGGATTACATTTTACAGTAATAAAAGAAATACTACGTTACTAATAGTAACCTAGTATTTCTTTTATAAAATAATTTATTTCTTTTATGAAATAATTTAAATGACAAAGGTCAAATTATGTGGAATGTCAATTTATCCGAGGGTACTGCGCTTTTTAAATGAATCAAATATGACGTTTGCCAGTTCCACAATCAAACCAATGATTTACAGAGGTTTCTGCACAGAAATCTGAAAGGGGTTTTCCATTTAGGTAGATGTTCATAATTGCGTTTAACGCTTCTTGTTTAAGACCAGTACGTAATGTATTTTTTTTTTTGTAAGTTCATTGCTGAAAAGCCCATTTAAACCGTTGCAGTACTCCCAGACTGAGAAAACATCAATTCCACCATGCGCAGTATGTTGCTGTATTTCTAGATTAGAGGGTCATTTTAGAAGTGAGGAGCTAGACTCTTGTAAGATAACAAAAATTGAAAATGTATCAGGAACATTAACAGGAAAATGGCCGTCTGCGCGGACGTCGGATTCGAGAAATTCGTTGTCCGCGGGGAATTTTTGACCGTCGAGGACGGGCGGACGGGCTGTTTTTCGAGCCCTGAAATTTTATAACTGTTTTTAAAACTAATTTTACTAAACATTTTTAAGCAATGTCTTTCACAAAAATATACTTACAGGAGACAAAGTTTTGAGATTAATTTTTAAATTGAAGATAAAGGTAAAGAAAAAGAATTCCACAAAAAAGGTTTAAAATGAGCTATAATTTAATTTTATCAGAGGAAAGAAAATGAGAAACTTTAAATATTTTAATGCAAAAATGTGCACATACTCTATCTTTCAATTCTTTTTTTTAAAAATGATATACTTCTTGTGCATTTTTAAATTGTTATTATTTGGTCCAAAAGTGGAATTTATTGTTTGCCACTAATAAATTTTTTTTCTGGTGGTTCTCTAGTACTCTTCGAAAAGTATTGCGCACCTCTAGTTTATTAGCTTTTTCCCAAATTGTTTGAAAAAAATTAAATACTATTTTTACACAAATAATGTGTTACTTAGAAATGTACTTAAAAATCATGCTTTTTTTTCGGTTTAAAATGGTTGAAACAGCCAATTCTTTAAGGACAAAATGTGAAAAACGAATCAAAATACAAAATCTTAAGAAATTTTTTTTAAACAAAATTGTTTCTGCAATATTAATAAAATATTTAAACAACAAAACTTTTCCTTTTTATCATTGCAGATCACATCAGATTACTTTTAAGTCTGATTATAAAATAAAATAAAACGCTATATTATCAACAAAATGCTAGCTTATTTGATGTTAAAAAAATCAAAAGAAATAAATTTGCAATGAAGGAAAACTATTCTGATGAGTTTATAATGCAATTGAAAATCCCTATCTAAAAAGTGATGCTTTTCTTTCACTAAAACATAGCTAAGATTGACGTTAGAAAATGAATGTTTACTGAAATAGAATGAATTTTATTTCAGTATAAAACAGTAAACAATTCTTTTTTCAAAATTTTCAACTATTATTCAAAATAATACTGCAGACAAAATTAAAATTTACGCAAAAATTCTTTAAATATTATGATGCATAAATTTTGAAAAATAAATTTTTTACTTACAAGTTCGGGACCTTCAAGTTCTTTTGGCAATCTAACAGCAATATTTTTCATTTGATGAATTTTATCATGCATCCTACAAATAATGAAACAATTTTCTTACAAAAAAATATACTATTAAAAAATAAAAATAATTAATCACAAAAATAAATATTTTAAAGAAAAAAAATTTATAATAATTTTTTTATTAATTTGAGTTTTTTAATAATTTATTTTATATTTTCATTTTGATTTTTGATAGTTGATTTGATTCTTCATTTTTATAACATTTTATCAAAATCTGTTATTATAAACTTAAAATATCTCTGTTATTATAAACTAATATAAACTCTTTTAATCTATTTATTACAAAATGTACAAATACTAAATAAACACTGTACAAATACGAGATATTACTAAAAAAAAACACTGTTTCTTTTAGAAAACCACATAATTTTAAAAATAAAACAAACAAAAAGAATATAGATAAAAATCTATTAGCTTAATGTTTAATGCAACACATTAGCTTAATATTTATTTTTTAAAAAAAACTCTAGATTAGACAACATATTTTATGGTATTGTATCTCATTTCCACATTTTCCTCATTTTGTCTAAAATGCAATGTATCAGATTTGTATCTAAGATACTATAAAGTACAAAATAGTTAATTTATACATCTTAAAATGAAATAAAATGATAAAAAACTAATTGATAAATAACTTAAAAAAGTATTCCCTATTATTCACGAAAAGAATAATCAAGAATATTTACACATTTAAATTTCAGAAATATATCTTTTCAAATTACCTATACTTAGGAAAAAATTTTTCATTATTATTAAAATTAAACAAGAGAACTAAAATTTTTATAAATTAAATAATATTTTGTATAAATCTTACCATTTGACTAACTTGTAAAAAACAAACATAAATAGAGCTAAGGCTAGAGTTCCACCAACAGCCACTCCTATTACTAGAGCCAGACCTAAACAAGTTGAAAATAATGTAAATACATATAAAAGTTATACTTAAACTAATAGTGTGACAAATTACAAAATTTTAACATCACTTTATTAAGAAAAACTTTCTAACAAATTAGGCTAATACTTAAAAGAAAACTCAAATTTTTTTATATAAGTAAGGAAATTCAGAACAAAAATTAAGATCAGGATTTTTGATCATGCACCTCCTGACAAAAAAAAAATACACTTAGTAAATGATGGAAGAAACTAAGTCGAATTTATTCGTACAAATAAATTAAAGAACAAAACTAAAAAGAATTGCTTAAGCAAGTGTACAAAAGTTTTTTAACAAAATAAAACAAATAATTCTTACATAAAGTGTTCAATGGAAAAAAAATTAGAAACTTAAGTAGTTATATGAACGAAAATATAAGCAGGGAAACAAAAATTTAAGATGAGAAGAAATAGAGCAGGGGATAAAATAATCATTTTAGGAATAAAGTAAAAAAAATGAAATTTAAAAATAATTTTTTAAGAAAATATTTAAAAGATCATTAACGAAAATAAACAAATAACTCTTATCAAAAATGTTTTATTAAAACGCTGTCAGATATCAAATAAGCAAAATTATAGCAAGGAAAATACAAATTTTGCAAAAGAAGAAATAACAATACAAAAGCAAAGATAATAAAAAAAAAAATTTATTTTATAAATTTTTTTATTTATTAATATGCTAAAATAAATTTAAAAAATCAAATTCTAAAAAGAATTTCCTTGTGCAAATTTATGCAAGTTCTTTAACAAAAAAGTAAAAATAAAAAAAAACAATGATAAACCAACAAAAATACAACGAGAAAAACAAGAAACATTTCAAATAAGAAGAAATAGTATAAAAGTGAAGATGATAAAAAAATATTTTAATAATAAAGTAAAAAAATAAAGAATTATTTATTTGTTTAAAATAAATTAAAGTTTAAGAAAATTGCTAAAAATTAAACTAACCAAAACTCGTGTTAAATGGATCATTTAAAATAAAAAATATTAGTACATAACTTAAAAGAACAAAATTTAAAAAAAAAAAGGTTTCCCTCAGAAAATATACAAAAGGTCAATATCAAAATAAAACAAATAATTCTTATCAAAAACTTTTGACTTATTAAAAGAAATGCTAAAACCAGATATAAAGGATTAAAAAAAAATTAAATAAAAATAATAAAAAATTGAATTTTATTCACTTATTTGTTGAATAAATGAAAAGAAAACTCAAAAATCAATTCTTTTAAAAAAAATCTGTAAAAGTTCCTTAACAAAACAAAAGAAAGAATTCTAATCAAAACTATTTGACTCATAAAAATTTCCACAACCTTGTCAAATAACAAACTAACAAAAATATTAAAAGGTAAACAAACATTTTAAATAAGCAGAAACATTACATTAAAGTAAAAAGGATGGAAAAATATTTTTAAACAAAGAAAGATAAATAAAATGTATTGTTTTAAAAAAAACACCAAAATTTGAAAATGAATTCCTTGATAAAAAGTTATATTCCAAAATAAATTAGTTTTCCAAACAATAAAACATACCAGAAGAAGCAATTCTCATGATAAACGCTTGACAATAAAAATGTCATTCACTTTCAAAGAAAAATCTCAAAAATAACAATAGAAAAATCCATGGTACTTCCAATTATCAAAAGAAGGTGTGTTTCTCCCATTATCATCTGATTGGTTGCCATAAAAAAATGAAATTTTGAAACTGAGGGAAAATACTATTTAGAGAGAGGGTCTTTCTTAAGAGGATGTTATGAGAATAAGGACAGGAAGTAAGAGATAGAGATAAGAATTGATTGCAATGTGGGAAGAGATCAATTTTTATTTTCAGGAAATGTCTCTTGAAATGAAGGTCACATAAGTGACACACTTTGAAACCATGCAGGTTATAGTGTTATCCTCTAATATTAGAATGCAGAAAAATTCTGCATTCATAATTTTTTTAAAAATAATAGCATTATCTGTATAGCCATAATGATTATAGCCACGCGCTTAATCAATATAGTTCGAATTAAGGCTGCTGTCTTGAAATATTGAAGTACATTTTAACTATAACTTACAGTACATAATTATTAACTTAAGTACATTATAATTATAACTTTAAGTACATTTCAATTTATCAAAATAACCATGCAGTTTATTGATATGTTATCAAGTGATGCTGAATTCTACACAGCAATCACGTTTTTTAAAAGACATAAAACAAAATTAGTTACAATTAAAAATTAGAAGACAATCCTAAAATTCCACTATCTTATCTAGAAAGTTTCATAATCATAAAATGAGATACTGTTGCGATTGCCTTTCTAGAAATTTTACAGAAATTGTTCTTTACTTTTTATTTTAAGCTTTATTTTGGGAAAAAAAAGAAACAATAAGAAAGAGGTAGCTATAGATACTTTTTCAGTTCAAAATTGCTATACTGCTACAATCAAATGTTTTTTTCCAATTCATTTAAGAAATATATTAAAATTAGCTTTTTCAATTTTGTACAGATTAAAAGCTATTGCAGTGCAACAATTTGTTACCCAAAAAAGGCTTTGATATGTCTTATTTTGTTCCATAGAAGAAAAAATATTTATAACTGAAAATTAGGAAAAATAATAAAATTTTGTAATCATTCCTAGAATTTTAAAATAAAAAAATTATAGAACTTTCACATTTGTAAAATCTTTCATTAGAGAATTGTTTTTCAGTTTCATGCTAAAGCTATATATATATTTTTTTTTAATTGAAACATTTTAAGAGACATATTGGGTTGCAAACTGCTGTACTGTCTACAAGTTTAGAATTTTATTAATTTTCTGTGGGAAATATGTTTTCCCAAACTACAATCATTTGCAGTACAACCATTTGTTAAACAAAAAGGCTTGAATTTACTTTATTTTGTTCCAAATCATGTGTTTAAAATTGAAAACTAAACAATTACATAATTCTGCTATCATTTATAGAAAAGCAGATTTATAAAATCATATTTTAGAAAATAGTTTTCTGCTTTTATTTTTAAGCACAATTTTTTAAAAAATAAATCACACTTTTTGGTTAACAAATTGCTATACTGCGATAGTCAGTAATATTTGAATGATTTTTAAACAAAAATATAATAATTAGCTTTTATATTTTCATCTCATAAAGTATTATTATTTTTAACACAAAAATACATTGATTTTCCCTACTTTGTTCCAAATTATGCATTCAAAATTAAAACTTAGAAAACAATTCTTTAATTCTGCTATCATTTCTAGAATCACAGATTTATTAAATCATTTTTTAATTCTAGCTCTATTCTAGATCAATGTTTTTTTTTTTCTTTTTTTTTAAAAAAAAAGCATACTTTTTAGTTCACAAATTACTATACTGCAATATACTGACGATTTTGAATAATTTTTCCACACCAAAAATATTACTATTAGCTTTTTGATTTTCAACAACTTGAGGAATATTCGATATACAAAATTATTTGATGTGTAGTATTTTTATCCAGAGTAAAACTTTGAATTGAAAATAACAAAATAATTTTAAAATTCTGAGAAGAGTAGAATTATTTTCTAAGAAAAAATTCTCACATTTTAAAATTCTGTTTAGTAGAAAAAAAAGCAAATAAAGATATATTTCAAGTTAAAAATAATAGTAAGAAAATTTAAAAGATTGTTTTACTTATGATTATAAAAGTTAAAATAATAAACAAAAAGTTTTTCTATACTTAAGAATCACCATGAATTATTTGTTCACATATTTTCTCCTTTCTTTTCTTAAAAGAAACAAAACATTTTTTTAATATATTCATACTCTTAACTAATTATAAATGGTTCAGCTTTTAACACATTATATATTGGTACCGAATTCTACTCAAAATAAACTCTAAATACTTTCCAATAACACAACATGGTTTCTATCTATGATACTTAAAAATTAGATTTAAAATATCTTTACATTTAAGTAAAAAGTTTGAATAGTTTCATGTTACATAAAGCATTCTTTGTGTTACATAATATTTTGTACTGAATAGCTATTCCAATAATAATTGAAATTTCAGTAAAAATGAATTGATAGCTTTAAATTGCATACATCAAAAATAATAATAACTAGGAGTTTGGAATTGATAACTTAAAAAGTTCTTATTAGTTCCTTTAAAAAATACAAAAAAAAACCATCATTTGAGAAGAAATAAATTAAAACAATGCTTTCCTCTTTAAAATTGCTTTCATTCATAACAGAATATACAAAGCAATGCAATGCATGCTTGTTGTCGATTAAAAGTTTGAAATTGATGTTATATGCTAAAACAACAAGAAAAATTAAATTTTGACTAGTAACGTTTTCTTTTTGTATATAAATTTGAATGAACACAAAGAAATAAAAAAAATTGAAAAAGAAATAACCCCAAAACTTAAAAATGCAAAAGAATAAAAAATGTAAATTTCATGAAAATCCGGGACCTAATAATAACAATTAACTACCTTGTGACATAATACAAGCAGTAGCTTGAGTAGCTTCTGAGAATGGACTTTCCAAATTTTTGCCATTCTTGATATTAACAGCTTGGACATAAAACAAATATTTAACTCCACCATCCATTACTGTTGAACAATCAGTTTCTATAACAGCTGAAAGACTCTGAAATTGTTGATAATTTGTTTTATTATCTCCATTCATTTGCCATTTAACAACGTAAAAATCTATCGGTCCATTTGGATTCAAAGGAGCTGCCCAAGATACTTTCAGATTTGTAGAATTGATCATTTCGACACGTGGTGGATCCACTAGACCAGGTTCTAAAGGAGAAAATATATTTGTTGTAAAATAAAATACAATGAAAGAAAAATAATTTTATCTTTATGGTATATGTGTGGTTTCAACACCTAGTTACTTATTTTTAAATATTAAAAAATTATTTCATTTTAATCAAAGAGAGCATGCCAAAATTTACATTTTATTTCAAAAATGCAAACAAAAAATAATTAACACATTTTGTGCAGTGATTCAAAATGTTACTTAATCGAGATTAATTCATATTTGTATTAAAATTATGTAATTAGACATAATTCACATCCGGATGTGAATTATATAATTAGACATAAACTTGCACACAAATACTGAATTCCAAAACAAAAAATCTATCTTACACAGAATCTTACATTTCAAAGCAAATGTATAGTTTACTAAGCCCAAATTCCGCAATTAGAGATCTATCTAACACAAGATTAATTAGACACAAAAATATTTACAATGTTTAATTATTATACAGAAAGATCTTGCGGAACACTATTTTGTGACAACTAACCAAATCAGAGCATAACTTATGTACAAACCTCTTAGCCTTAAAAATAAAAGCCTTTTAAGAAAATAGGAATTGAAAGAATTTAATGAATATGTATATATAGCAATACTTTAAAAAGAAAAAATAGAAATTTACATTGATGAGGTAAGTGACTAAAAAATTTATAAGCAGCATTTCACACCTTGCTGTTTCTAGAAGTGATAGTATTACTATCAGTGAAATTCTATAATTATTATCAGCCTTTAAAAACCAGTAAAACTTCTTTCCTAGTTTCACATCTAATAAATTGCAAAAATAATTTTACTAATTTAATTATTTTTATTTTGCAAAAATTATACATACTAATCATGATCATATATACATATATCCAGTACATTTTTACTGGAAAATTTTAAAATAAGTGGTTGCAAGAGAAAGTATACAAATATATATACATAAAAAAGGTAGTGAAAAATATAAGTACCATAGGTTACATAAGGACAAAAAATATTTGCTTATGTAGCCTATAAGTCTATTTTAAGTATTTGAGAATTAACAATATAAACATATAAAACATAGATAAAAAAAACTTTTTTTTCACAGACGCTATCTATGAAAAGTTATAGAAAAGAAAACAAATAATTTACCACCAACATCTGTCACAGCTATAAAAGGTAGAGACTTAGGAGAGCAATAATTAGAAACACAGGCAGCCATGGAAATATTGTATTTTGTAAAAAAGGATAAGCCTTCAATATCATAAGACAAGTTCTCTAAGGATTTAGCTGATATGTATTTCTCCATCCCATTGCGATAAAGATAATAGTGAGTAATGATTCCATTTGGTTCTAATGGTGGTTGCCATCTCACTCTGATTGTAGTTCCACTTTTGTCGAGAACCTGAATATTGCGAGGAGCATCAGATGGTGCTGTAAAAGATGAAATAAAGAAATTTATATCTCAAAGTTTACATATATTGCATGAATACTAAGGAACAAAAATATCTTAAAAATTGTTATATGTATTATTTAGAGCTCTTTAGCCAAGTAAAGTCATAAAAAAGTTAGAGTCCCTTAAACTTGAAGCAAGTCCTTCTATATTTATACCATCTTGATATGAATTAGCTGCACAATGATATGGAAAATTATAAGTCCAAGATTTGTATAGAAGCTTAGTGAAAATCATTATAACCAATGAATAATTTTTAAGAATTCAAACAGTATAGAGTTGGAATAACGATTCAAACATTAAAAAAACTATATCAAAAATACTTTTCATATACAGAATATTGAGGTATTTGCTATAATTTGATAATACATTTGCCTGTGATAATTGAGTCTTCAAAGAAAAGTCTTTATTCAAAGAATGGAATTCAAAATAATGCATGTTCAAATTAAAGTTCTTCAACCATTTTTTAAAAAAATAGATCATTTATTCACCAGTATTAAAATGTCAAGTAGAGGCTGCACAGCATTGCAAATATTTCTATACTGTAAATACATTTTATCCTGATATTTTTCAAAATTATTCATTTGAATTTAAAGATACCTCTTAATATGTCATTTACATAAATAAGCTAAAAATGGCAGTATAAAACAGAAACAAAAAAAAGTAAATATTTTTTTAATTCAATACTATATATCTTTATCATGATTTTCAATAGAATTAATATATAGTTTGAATATAGTTATAAAATTAATACATAATTAATATACTAGTTTGCCAATACACATAAATATCGTTCATGAAATTTAATTATTGGAAAACGAAGTACACACTCAAATTTCTTTTAGACAAGGAAGTGAGGGGAATTATAAATCGACTATGCCAACCTTCATCTATCAAAAGGTGCCTCAAGATGGAATCAAGTTAACATGTCTTCATTGGTGACCCACGGACGTGATATCAACTTGTCAACAATGATGAATGGTCCACATTAAACAGTTGATTTGCTTAAAAATATATACTGCTCAAAGAAAGAAAAAAAATCCGGTGACGTAAATAAAGTTTTCCGGCCAGTAAACAATATTGAAGAGGGAAAAAAAATAATGAGCGAAATGCTGTAAACAAAAAATGAAGAGAAAAAATAATGAGCGAAANGAAAGAAAGAAAAATCCGGTGAAGTAAATTAAGTCTCCCGGTCAATAAACAAAAATGAAGAAAAAAAATAATGAGCAAAATGCTATAAACAAAAAAAATTGAAAAGAAAAATATATATATACTGCTCAAAGAAAGAAAAAAAAATCCAGTGAAGTAAATTAAGTCTCCCGGTCAATAAACAAAAATGAAGAAAAAAAATAATGAGCAAAATGCTATAAACAAAAAAATTGAAAAGAAAAAAATATATATACTGCTCAAAGAAAGAAAAAAAAATCCGGTGAAGTAAATTAAGTCTCCCGGTCAATAAACAAAAATGAAGAAAAAAATAATGAGCAAAATGCTATAAACAAAAAAATTGAAAAGAAAAAAAAATATTATGAGCAAAATTGATATAAATAAATAAACAGCATAATCAACTAGTGGTATTGGCTCATCGATTTCTATCACAGATGAAATTCTTAAAGGGGGGTAATGTGACTTACCACTATAAATATCAAATACCAATTCACTAGTATATAAGCCATGTTAACTTGATTCGCTCTTGAGGTATCTCTCGATAGATGAACATGTCTTATATACTAGTGAATTGGTATTCAATATTTATAGTGGTAGTTACGCCACAGAAGAATTAATAGAATGTCAACTGGTAGCAATTTTTTTGTTAATCATTTTAAAAGTAAATATATGGTCAGTAGAGTAAATATATTTAGTAAAATAAATATGTAAACGAAGTAAATATAGTCAGTAAAGTAAATATGTAAACAAAGTAAATATAATTAGAAATCACATAATTGTAATTTTGTTTTGAATAATGTGCTTTATTTATACCTCCAGGTAGTGTATTTTGAAAACTTTCTGCCATGTCCTCACTTGGTATATTCTCTTTATTGAATGCTCTTAGTTTCACACTATAATTTGAGAAGGGGTGCAGATCCTGAAGAATGTAGCTTTCATCATCAGGTTCAGCTTTAGCAACTTCATAAGAAATAAAGAGAAAATAATTAATTAAGCAAATTAAATAAAATATTTGACAATTTTTGACAATAAAGAAAAATGCAATTCAATTAAATAATTATTTAAAAGGAATGAATTAAAGGTTCATTTTCAATTTGCTTTTCCTTTCCTAACTTACAAAAGCCTTTAAAGGTTAAATTTTAAGGTAATTGCATATTTTAGAATTTAAGGTAATTTAAAGATTAAATTTAAAAATACAAAAGAACTCATCATATACAAATGAATCAGATACTTCAATATAAAATATTTTTGCACAATCTGTCAGAAAAATATCTTAAATATCTATTATCTTAAATATTGATTGAAAAGAAAGAAATACTCATTATTACCTTTACAATTTCCATTCATTCCTAGCTTACAAAAAGTAATTTCATATCTGTCAATAACAGACTTCATAGCTTCACAGTCAAGACTCCAAATTATTTTTAAAGTTGAAGCGTCTTTTTGTTCTATGTGTTTAATTGGAATTTTGCCTAGAGCTGTAAATTTAAAAATTTTAGTGATCGCTTTGACTACTAAAAGTCAGAAAATTTACAAAATAGAAATATGCAAGCTTAATTATAAGATTAATATAACAGCATTTTCTTAACTATAACATCTTAACCTAAACTACAATGCTGAGTCAACTTACAACATCCATGAAATTATATAATCACTACATCTTAACTGATTTATTATTTAGAACTTAATAGGTTTAGTATGAACATCTATAACTATTAACTACACTTGTTTTTCATATAAAGTCAGCCAATTATTACCAAATAAAAAATGTCATGTCTTTCTTTGCCAAATGAAAAATATCATGTTAATTGTACTCCAGCATTTTACAGGCATGACATCTTTTAGACACCCTTGGTAAAGCATTGCTACAAAATATGCTATGATTTTTTTTTTTCCAAAACGAAAGTAATACAGTTCACAATCACAAATATCAAATATTATCAGCTTTAAAATATGCACAACTGAAAAACATAATCACTGCAATAATTAAACTACATTGCTATAATTTAATATTTTAAAATATAAAGTAAAACAGCACCATTCATACGTCTTTTAAAAGACCAATGTAAATTGATGTGCAAATGAAAAGATGTATGTCAGAAAATGAAATAAATCAATAGAATTTTTCTTAAAAAATAGCAATTTTGATATTGTAATTGTATTGTTAATTTAGCTCCCATATTATTGATACAGGCAATAACAGAATTAATAGTAATTAAAATTAAAAATAATCCCTCTCTCTCAAGAATAAAAACAAAAACAAATCTTTAATCCACATTTTGAGCATGCAAATTTATGCAACTTCTTCTATAAATGTGAACATTTAAGTGAAAAATTCCTTTTTAGAGACTCATTCGGAGTTAAGCAAAATCAGGCAAAATACTTTTGTACTTATTTGGTTTTTTTTATTATAAACGAGCTATTTAAACATTGCATAGATTAAGAATGTACTAGGATTTAACAAGACTGCTTAATAGACATTGCGTATGGTGCTTAACTTTATTACAAATTGTTTAAAATTTAATCAACAGGATGAAACTGATATTTAATAATACTAGATAATCAGCCAATTTTCCCACTCCTTCCCCCACAAATCTGTGTGAAATTAGCCAATTAAAATGCTCTCATTGGAATTCATTTTTTGCTTAATAAAATTTTCTTTGATGAAATTAATATAAAATATACTCAGACTAAACCTTAATCTTCAAGAACCTATTTGTTTTTCTCACTAAGAACTAGAACTAAACTGATTGTTTACAAGACATAAAGCAGATTCATAAACCCTATATGCTGGTATTAGTCTAAAATCTATCTAAAATTACTGATATTTGTCCAAAATTGTGAAATATTTACGTTTTTATAAAAGAAACCTCAAAACGATTTTGAAAACTAGATTGCTAATTCTAAATAAACTTCTCTGAGGAATAATCAAGGTATATGTTTCATGCAAGAACTTACGAGCTTTTTGCGGTACAATACATGAAGCCCACTGCATTCCAGAGCTTTCATTTCCCATAGCTGCTACCACTGCAAATTGGAAGTTGATATGCACATCAGTAACATTCAAGATGAAACTGTTCTCCTTCAGATTAGTATTGGACCACTTGATTGGACCATCACAACGTGAATTGCCACGTTTTGCATTGGAGCACCAAAATACAGTGAAAGTATAGTCATAAATGCTTCCAGCCATTGACCAGGTCAAATTATAATAGCCCAGCTCATTTGAAATAGCTCTGATGTCATAAGGAGAAGGTGCAACTAAAAATAAAATATACTCACAATTAAATTATGCAAAAATTATAGTATGTATGTGAGATATCGATCTTTTGGCATATTACCTGTTAATAGTGTTTTAAAAATTTTTAACAATAAAAACAGTTAAAAAACAAATATTTATTAGCAAAACTTTTAAACAAATATTGATTTACATGTCTTTTGAATACAAACATTAACTCTGTACTGTTTAGGAGAAATAAATTATCTTACTGAAACAAGTGTGTTCTTAGCAAAAATGGGGAAATATTTGTTATTCATAAGCAAAAATTGAAGAATTTTGTCAAACAGTTCTCAGTTACCAAGCAGCAGTAGAAAAGAACTTTAATAAAGGATTTTCTACAAATAAATAGTATCGCTTTGCGCTTTAATGCCACAGGTCCAAGGTTTTATCCTCGGAGACCAGGCTAGTTTGACTCAGCCTTTCATCCCTTCAGTGGATAAAATGAGTACCAAGCTTGCTTGGGGACACAATACTAGGGGTTCCCTGTTCGGCTGTCAACCCCCCCAGAGGCTATTGTCAGGAAAACTGAAATGGGCACGGTAGATTTTGGCGCTTCTTGGGCTGTCATACTACTGAGTTTAGTTCAGTTTAGTGAATTCTTTGACAGATTTCCCTAAAATATTGCAGATCTTGCAAGATTAAACGGTCTTTGTATTAAAAAATTCAGCCTAAAAAATTCATTAAAATAAGAATTTATGCTTGATAGCATGTTATTAATTAATTTATTATCTTTAAATGCCATATTTACATACAATTTTCACACAGATAACAAACAGGAAACATAAATTCGCAATATTTTCACTGTATAACTGAGTCTTATTTCTATATGAATTCAGAATACCAAAAATATCATTATCAATAATAATATTTAAAAAAGCAAACAATTTCAGATAATGTTCTCTAAAAAAATCTAAACAAGATATAACTTTATTTGATGCCAATTAACACAATTTTCTATTTTCACATTAATTATTTATCTGTAAAATCAAAATATATAATTACTAGATTATCATATTTAAAGCACAATATATATACTTAAAATTGTATTAGTATGATTTGTTATTTTATAGCATATGATTCTTTAAGAAAACCACTTAAGTATTCTTTTGTGGTATGCTTACGATTAAGTTAAATCAAAGTTAAGATTCCAAGTAATGTATTTATTAAAGCCTAAATGTGTTTTGGAGCCACTTGGAACGTCTACATCAGCAGGATAAATTAGTAGGAATGGTAAAAATATTGATAATTATTTCTACATTTTTTACTACAGAAGGCAAAATTTGTGTATTAACAATAATACTCCAATGTTATATTGATTATCCCTCATAGCAATTACTCAATCATAAAAATTATCACTTATTTTTACAATTTGTTATAACATAAAATAAACAAGCAGTATGTGTAATAGCAGTGCATAATTTGCAAGGAAAAAAATGATAAAATACTTTTCATAAAGTGTTAAACAATCAAAATATTTAATGCATTAGGTATACCAAATGTAAGATTATAATACTGAAGAATATAATAAAAAAATTTTGCTAAATAATTAAATATTAATGATAAGCAGAAAAATTTGTGTATATAAATACTAAAAACGATTTAATTGACAAAGGTACATTTACTTTTGTTTCTTTCAGCAACATAAATTTCTTTGTAATCAGTTGATAAGCCTTCCTCGTTAGCTGAGTAAATTTTAAAGATGTAAGCTGAATCATTATTTAAATGACCAATAGTGATTACTGGCAGTTTCGATTTTGCATAAAAAGAATTCTTGTTTTCAGTCAGAGCAGAAGGATAATACACAACATGATAGTGAAAGTCTATTCCACTATAATATCTTTCAGGTACAGGCTATAAAGTACAGAAAATATATTAATTATAAAACTTATTAATTATAAAGAATAATACAACAAAAGCTGAAGAAATAATATTGAGAAGTGAGTAAATTTTAAAAAAATAATTGGGAAATATATTTAAAAACAGTATATCATAATAAAATGCGTACATTTACTAGTATAAAACAATTTAAACAAAAAGGACAATTTGGAAACAGTAATGTAAAATAGTTCATAATAACCAACTTTTTGACCAATAGTCATGCATGCCCACAACCATTAAAATAAGAAAACAAAATTCAAAATGTAACACATTTAATGTGGATTAACATTAATATAAACAGTGGTTTAAATCAAATATTTATTTAAAACTCTTAATACAAATTAATCCATTGTCAATGCAATTGTTTTTGTTTCAAATTTATTTTCTAAGGGACTTCAGGGTAAAAGAAAAAATATCAAAGTAAGTTTTGATCACTATTAGAATGAATAGTTTGGATAGGACGTTCTAATAGTAGGAAATAGAAGGTGAACTTTATACATCGATTGTTATAATAAAACTGTTGCAATGGGTTGGTCAGACAAAAGATCATAGACTATATAAAAACAAATTATAATTGTTGATAAATTATAATACCAATTAATACAAAAACAAACTATATAGGATAAACATAATGAATAATTAAATCTATAATTATAGCTTAGCTTTCAATTATAGCTTGCGAAGTACAATTATAAAATTACATTAAAGATAAATATTTTCTTATTACAGATGTTAACAACTTACTTTCCAATATAGAGTGGCGTTGCGATAATCTTCAAAATTATATAATTCATAGGCTAGCGGATTCACTTCAGGCAGAATAGAGGGTACTGAAAAATAAAAAATAAATACAACTTTAAAAAAGGGAAGTAAAAATATAAAGTAATAATTAAGATTTATTTTAAAGAAATTAAGCGAGCATTTAAAAATTAAGATGCAAAAATTTTTCTTATTAGAAAAAAAGCATTGCATACATCAATTTTTATTTCTAGAATTTGTAGAACCAACATAAAATTAAATGATCTGAAAAGAGTGGAGTAGAAATTTGTGTTAAATTATTTTTCATGAAATATTGATTTAACCTTATATCTCAAAAATTAAAAAACACAATTGCAATATTCATTTCTATATAACAAAATGCATCTCAAATAAATAACATTTCTATGTAATAAGCAAATAATGATAAATTAATTTTTATTATGAAGTAAAAATTTTCAATGTAAAACTTCAAATTCTTTTAGTACATTGAATACTAAGAAATACAATTCCTTCATAATAAGTAAATAAAGGAAAATAATAACATTCAGGTTCTAAACATGTGGTAAAAGAGTTGTACAAATTCTAAACCAATAAAACTAGTAATACAGAGAATCATATAAAACATACCATCTGGTAAAGTTTTGATTTGTAAAGATATTATAGGACTCCACATTTCTTCTTTAAATGTATATTCGGATCGACATCTTAACGACACATTATAAAAATAATATGGAACTAGCCCTTCTACTATATAGGTAAGCCTCTCTAAACCACTATTGATAACCTGAAATGATGTAATTAGATGATAAAAATTATGTGTGGAACCTAATAAACTCATAAATTGAAAGTTCAAAACATGGCTTTAAAAATACAAATTTTAAATAAATCGCTACACTTTGGTTAAAAATTTCTTTAATGAACTAATTTGAAATTATAAATTTAAAAATCAAATGAAAAATTATGAACAAATTTTAAGACAATCAATATTAAAAATTATAATGAATATAATTTTTAATATTGATCAAAAAATGTCATAGGAATTATGAACATCCTACACAATAAAAAATTATTTCACCAATTTAAGCGGTAAACTAAGTGGAAGTTTAACATTTAATTAAGGTCAAAAAAATTTGGTAAAACAATAGTGAATTAGGGTGAAAAATATAACTAAAAGATCTAAACAATGCTAATAAAAATTTGATGGATTAAGTTTAATCAGAGAGAATCTACAATATCCTTAAAATATTTACTACAATAATATTACATTTTAACTTATGACGTTTATCTGCAAATTTCTAAATGGCAAATTAATTTGAGTGAACAAAAAATGAAAACTGGCTTAGTTTAAAAAAGTTTAATACTAACAACTCTATCACGAGGATCAGGACCAAGCTCTTCAAGCCATAGTTGATAGAAAAGAGGAGGTTTTTCAATAATATGCTTCATTTTTGGAGGAAGCCATTGAAGAATTATGAAATCTTTTCCAATTTTTAAAGCTGTCAAATTTTCAGGACTATTTGGAATAACTAATTGAAAGAAAAAAATATATAATATAAATAAAACCTGAACTAAAATAAGCACAAACAAGCAGATTTTAATTAAATTTGTATAGAAATTAATCTTCTTACAATTTTAACAGCCTCAACTTGTTATTGATCCTCATTCATATTTTAAATGAAAACATTAAAAATGATACTAAAATTTTATAATTTTAATGAAAAAAGCTTAATATATGAAAATATTTAATGACTAAAATTTAATAAAAGCACCACAGTATGATTTAATAAAAAAAACTAGAAAAAACATCACATTTACAGTAAAACCTGAAATCCAGACATCTTGGGAGATTTAAAGGTCTGGATAATGAGTTTTAGACTTTATACATCTCCATTAAACCAATAAAGAAGTCAAAGTTATAAACCTTAAATTTAATCAATAGACATAAGTTAAGGGTCCAATATTAATAAAAATGCAAAAAAAGTTTTTTGACTTTTGTTTTTGGTAATTATATTAATTGTTATTGAGCTTTTAAAATTTTTATATTTAAATTAATGGGCAAAAAAGCAAGGGTCAATTATTAGCAAAAAATTTTGTATATTGACATTGCTTTTCTTAGCTTTTTTAGAAATTATAGCACTAATCGCCACTTGGCTTTTAAATTTTTTATATTTTAATACAATACTAGGAGGCTTTGCCCCCTGCTCGCTGGCGCACGCCAACCCCCGGAACTGCTTTCGCAGTTCATTTCGGATTGCTTCGCAATCCGATGCCCGCTCATTGGATACGTTCTTAACGTCTAGCTTTTGTATACTTTTTTGAACACTGAAGTTCTGAAAACTTTTCACTGTAGAAAATTCTAAACCTGTGCATTTCAATATTAATTTGAAATTGAAAACAGTTCGCATATTTTTCTTAATCACACTATTCTAAATTTCAGTTGTTGAGAAAAGTAACTGTTGTAAGTTTTGTTTTAAAGTCTTTCCCACCAGAGGGCTAAAACCATGTGTTGTAAAACAATATGTAATAGTACTGAACGCCGGATGTAAAGCATCGGCTTCGATGAAGATAATTTTGTGAGAATTTTTTTGAGAATTCGGTGAGAATTCACCTGATTAGACATATGATACTCACTACATGCTCTTGCGCACCGAAGCCTATCAATTAAAACATATTAGCGTTTCATATAATATAGATTAGCTATATGATGCTCACTACGTGCTCTTGCACGCCGAATCCTATCTATCAATTAAAAATGAAAACTGTTGCCAACGCGAGAAAAGAAATATCATTGGTTTTATTGATACATACATACGTATTAGCGTTTTATATAATAATACAATATTATGACATGCAAATGTTGGCCACTGAATAATCTCTTTATGATCTAAGACTTTATGCAATTTCCTAATCCATATGGTTCTGTCATTTGCTTTTAGAGCAATTATTGATATGCATGGCTTTTAAAAAAAAAATTTATTATGTTGTTTAAATGCATGAATTTCCCAGTTTAAAACTGATTTTTAATTTTTTTTTTCCTTAGCCATGAGTTGGAAAAAGACTTTTTTCATTTTCAGGGTTTCCATACCTAAGAAGGCTAAATTTTCAAAGCTAAATAATATCTATAAAATTCTTAAAAAAAAGAATAATACCAAAAAATAGTTATTTTATTAGTTCAGTATCTCAAAAAAAAAAAAAAAAAAAAAAAAACACTAACATGTTTAATACAAAAAATAAATAGTAAAAATAAATATTTGAAAATAAAATAAATGGTTTCAACAAACCTATTGCAAAATGGTCGAGCATAAATTCATTTTCAGATATCCCTAGGCTATTATTTCCATGCACAATGAAAGTGAGATTCCTGTTGCTTGTTTGATAGGGAGGATCTGTATCATCTCGCCACTGGCAAAAAGTGTTGTTGAATGTGGGGCAATTTTGAAAAGCTCTAAAAAAACACACATAAAATTATAAGAATATGATTTTAAAAAAAAGCCTACTCCTCAATAAACTTCAGGAGATCAAACAAAGTCACCTTTTAAGATGAGATTGCACTAATCAGGAACTACTTAATTCTCATTATCAAAATTCATCGCAATTAAATAATTTGTCATTTCACTATAAACCATGCTAAAAAGATTGTTTAGTAAAACTCTACCCAATAATTTTTAAAATTATGCTTCTGAAAACTGTATAAATATTTAGAGCTTAAAGAAAAGAAAATTTAAGAAAAAAAAGAAAACATTACCCCATTGAGAACAAATTCTTTTGCAAAGAATAATTTGTCTTCACTTTGTTAGGCTCAATATCCCAAGTGCAAGTCAAATTATCAAAGTTCTTACTAACACACTTAAAGTTGCTCACATTTTTTGGAGTATCTAAAAAAGAAACAGCTATTATCAAATAAAAACATAACAATAATAAATAAAAAATATATATATAATAACAGTTTAAAATAGAAAAATTATAAGCAAGTTAGAAAAGAGAGAAGAAGAAAAATTATCCGTCAGTATAATTTAACACCTTGTAACTACAAGGTTATATATGGTCTACCTGAAAACCTATTTTTTGACGGCGACATTGTGAAAAAAAATCCTAGCTGTTAATAAATTCCAAAAAAACTTAAAACAACCAAAAATATATCAATAATGCCCAACCTATTGTTACATACTTTGCATGATATTGAATTTAGTTGGAAAACAAATAATAATAAACAAATCAGAAATTATTAAAACCATCACTTAGATATACCAGCAAATTTTTTTTAATTCAGTTTGTAATCATTAATAAAACTACTAAAATAAGAAACATTATTCTAATTATTCTAATAACATTAATTCTAAATAATAGTTAAATAGTCAGTACTTAATGTGGTTTTTTAATTTGTATTTTACAAAGTTGTCAAAGTTCAAATTTGTAATGCAAAGTCAACTACATTAAGATTAGTTCTTGAAGAAGCAAATAATCTTAGTCTTTAAAGCTCATCCTAGTTAATCTTGAATGATATTTTTAATGTCCATAATATGAACTCAACAGTTTAATCTCATGATTTCATGGACACGCCTCTGGACAAAGCCACACACTGTTTTAATGAGTTGTTGTAATGATATCAACATTGCTGCTTTCTAGCCCTGTTGCATTCAAATGAGTAAGATGCTATGCATTATGATTAAGTTTCTAACAAATACATTATCAATAATTCAAATTTTTTTAAATTGAGTCTTCACACACTAATGTCTAAACACTGTTTTTTTAATTGAGTCTTCACACACTAATGTCCAAACCTATGACCTGCATGCCACATTGTTTGCCACTCGACTTTAAACATTAGCTATAGAATCAATCTTGCAAAAAACTGAATAATGCACAAAACTTCAAAAGTATTGCATCTTTAGAAAAAGAGAATATTACAATCCACGAAATAATAATATAATGATAAGTTTGAATGTTAAATAATTAATTTAAAAAAATTGTAAACCCAACAAATAAATACTTACAGCCAACACTGACTTGTGTACTGCATACATGAGGATTCGTTGATTTATCAGGTACTGACAATGTACAATGATAGATTCCAGAATCACTTTCCTGTGCTGCGGGAATGATTAACTGAGCTGTCCGTGAATCAATTATATGAGTAAACTTCAACAAATCTTGGTTATCTTTTTTAAATACCAAATTGGATGAATTTACTTTTCCAGATATGCCAGATAAATCTTCAGAATTTAAAGTACAATTAAGATCTAATTCTGAACCAACAAGAAGATCATAATCTCGAGTAGTATCTGAAATTAAAATAATAAAAGTATAATGTAAAATTTAATAGTCTTTATTTCAAGCAAAGATTAAATTATTTATGCAGAAATCTTAGCTATAAAAATTAATACTTCTGCAACCACAGTAGCTAAAAATCATAAATCAAAAAATAATTCACTTTTCATCAGCAATTCCAATTAAATTAAATATTAACTTTTTTTATAGGTGAATTTATGTTTTTCTTATTTTGCCTAGTTCTCNAAATGCAATTTATTGAATATTCTTGCTGCATCATCATAGAAGATTTTGCCTTTACTAGGTATTTGTCCATCTTACATTAGTGCATAAAAAAATTTTGAACGTCTTACATGAAAAACCATACCTACAGTAAACACGTGATTGCAGAGAAATGTGTTCTGAAAGGGGTACCGTGGTTCGGAGGGGTTGTGTTCTGTTGTTCGAAAAGGTTCTGAACAATACCTACTGGTAAATAGGGAAGCTTTTTCCAAAATGCGAGAATTTCGCGAATTTTGAAATTGATTTATAGAAAACGCGAATTTCTCGCGGTAATCATTTTTTAATGCGAGAAAAGAAAAAAATATGCGAGATTCTCGCGTTCTCGCGCTGTAGTGAAAACACTGCCAACCCAAAGTTACCTGGGATCCATCCATGAGTGGTTTACTATGTATTAGCTTTCAAAGAAGTATGTGCTCATCGTTAGTTTAATTCAAGGTTTTTTTGTGTGTGCCTTCTCTGCTTGTGACTAAGATTTAAAAGCTTTTAAAGAGATCTACAATTTCTATTTTGAAGATAAGGTAAATTTCTACATTTATGATTTCCAAAAATTTCAAAATTTATCGAATGTTAGACGCACATCGTTAGGAGAGACAATGTTGGATGCAATCCAGCTTCCCTTCTTCTGCACATTTGGTGCTCCTTCAATGGGATAAACCAAGGTTTTTTTTCTTCTCAAAAATGCCTGTGAACAGACGAAAACGGCCAAGAATAGACGACAAGAATTCATCCATGAAGAAGCCATAAATTTTTATCTGATCACCACTTGCAAGTGACTCCGGGAATCTCTAAGACAGGACCAGTAAAGATGAGAATAGATTTGAATGAATAAAAATATGATCGCCAATTGTCACATTTATTTCTCGACTCTTCATTCATTTTGGTCACCCGATTACCATTGATCCTGCGATTGAAATCTTTCTAACCAGTTGAATCTTTAATAACCTTTTTTAAACAAACTTTTCATACATTTTTTCAAGCATTTCTTAAACTTTTTTAACATTTCAATATTTAAATTCATACTTACTGAATGTAGTATGTATTATGATCATATTCTATTCCATAAAATCAAATATTAAGAACGTAAAGTCATAATATGCAATATTGACATACCTAAACAGCGTTATTTTCTTATTTTATGAACATGAGTTTGGCATAAAACTAAATAAATTTAATAATATGTTTTCGGTTAAAAACAAATGGTAATATCTTAAAATTATGCACTTTTGCATCAATAACAAATATATAAATAATTTTTATAACATTAATAACTATATTTTTTGAAATTTATAATAACTTTCATCATATATTATAACTTCATCATAGAAGGTGTGAAATTTCATATTCTGTAGGGGTCAAAGGTTGAGAGACAGCCCTGATTTCGTCTGCCGGTATCATGTCGATAACAACACAGCAATTTGCCGAATTGTATTTGCAAATAGAAATATGGGAGTTTCAGAATTACTTTAAACCTCTAGTAGTCAAACAGTTGTACTTCTTAAATAAAGCCATATTTCTCCGGACAGCGACTATCGTGAAAGCAAACTAAATTTAGTTGTGCTGTTTCATCTACAACAAACTGCGTTTCTTGAATGTGTCACAGTATCTAAGGTACAGTTAAGGCTTGTGTGCAATGTACTATTATGTGTACTTGAGTCTGTTGTGTCTGTTTAAATAGTCCTAGTTAAGTTCTAGTCTAGGACTAGCCAAGTCCTAGTCCTCAACTAACTAATCCTGGATAGCAAACCTACGATAAAGCTTGTCTATTTCTACAATCCCCTGTCTGCTTGATTATTTTATAATTATCACAAGAATTTCATGATAAAAATAGTGAATTTAAAATTTAACATCAATTACAGCATTAATTTGAGGGGGTGGAATGTGGCTCTTTCTTGTTACACTATATAAAGTGAAAATAAAAAAAAATTACACAAGATAACAATTATAAAGAGAACCTATAGAGGGACTGCTTCACAGCACAATATTTATAAATATTTAATCAATTTAAAAAGCTAATTATTAATATTATGTCTTAAGACATCAAAATAAATTAATTCACATCATTCACTGTTTCAGTAAATATTTTTTTTTATAATTTACTGCAGAAATTTATTTTATATTGTCAACATAATATTTCAAGATAAATAAAAGTTATGCTAAAATGAATTTTTTCTCAGCTAAAATATGTCATCTGACAAGAAATATTAATAGATAATAAAACTTCAAGTCTGCTCAGAAAAGATTCATACAACAGTTTTTTAAGAAGGATAAATCTCCAAAGATAATTTTTTCTGACCTGCAATAACCAAGGCCAGTTTTAGTTCAGTAAATAAAAAATCATATGTTTTTATCTAGGAACTCTTTGCATAGGAATATATTTTTTTTGGGAGAAAAAAATAGGTTTTACTAAAAGAAAACAGCTTAATCAAAAGTAAGTGAAATAATGAGTGAGTGAAAAGTAAGTGAAATAATGAGCTGGAAAAACTTTCATTATTTTATTGTTAAAAGAAGCTTGTTAAAAGCAAAAATATTTACTTTTATATTAGTCAGTAGGATGCACTTAATTAATGTGATAACTTAATTTCATTTTAAGGCCAATTAATTTCTTATATGAAGTGTACGGTAAAGTAAAAATTTTACAGTCAATTGAATTGTAAAATAAACTTAATTTGAAAAGTAATAGAACTATGAAAAAGAATGCGAGAATTTACATTTTTTTTTAAGTTTTATAATTAAAATAATAATTTAATTATTATAATTTAAATATTATTTTATCAACACAAAAGAATAGTAGAACAAAAATGTAGCTAATATTATGGATATATACAACATAACATTAATGGATTTAGTCTATATGACTAATTTATTTAAATAAGAAAACAAAATATTAGAATTTAATTTAACTTTAACGATTACTTTTTTTCCTGAACTTAAGTAACATCTCTCTAACACTTCAAAGCTGTAACACAAAATTGCAAATTACAAGCCATGCATTTAGTTGAATATATTTTACAAGCTATTTATCAAGTCTTTTCTAAATCTTTACAATGAATGACTTTTCTACATAATAAAATATGATATTTTATTTTAACAAACTCTCCGTACATGATATTATAACTTTCATTTTTTTTTATAATGAAATTACGTTCAAACATCTGAAGCTATAAGAAATCAACAGCCGAGTTTTTAAACATTTTAATAGTTTTTCTAATTGTAAACAATAAAAAGCATGCCTTTATTTTTAAATGACACTTTAGGCTTTCTATTTTCGTACATTATAACCTTCTTAAACAAGACTCCTTATAAACCCTGAATGGTTTAACTTAAACGTCATAGCGATTGAAATGAGTTACAGGTGGCGCAAAACAGAACTCTCTATCAATGGCAACGCTTAGCATGCTTTTACCATTAGTGTGAGGAGATTCTTAGAATGAGGAAGAACGTTGGTTTCTGTCTTGATTTTCAAATAGATTAAAAACTGTGAAGTTAAGAAACTAAATGGAACTGAAAATTGCATTGATTTTAATTCTAAAAGAAAGCTCCCTATGTTTTTGACAATTAAATACGAGAAATATTAAGAAAGGGGAAAATATCGTAGCACATTCCTATACAACTATGAAGAGGAGGAAGGGGGAAAGGTCAAGACAAGGAACAAGTATTTTTCCCTGAGAGCATTGTGATCGGGAATAATAAACAAGTGAAAATAATTGTACTTTTTTTTTTTTAAGGGCAATCTCATTGCATGCGATTTACGCACTTCCGATCACCATAGAAAGGAAATGCTATTCTGTTAGGTGAAAAACATTTTCCAGCGAAAATCCCCCCAATTAGGTTCTATATTGCTTTCAACAGTGATCTCAAATGCCTAAACCGGATGCAGTGAGAAAAGTCCTTAAAAATCATTTTCACTTTTTTTGATTCACACGTATGGATTTGTGGTCTAATTGAAACAATAACAAGCGTCCTTAAACCGTAAGAAATTTAGAAAATTTCCAGTGTATCCCTCCGCTTATGTTATGACTACGAGGCGATGTATGAACAAGCCTAATATTCTATGCAGTTTTGTTATTGTAATTTGGGTTCAAATCTAAACATAATTGTACCATTCATAAGAGCTTTCAGAAATGTATTGATTCTCAGAGGTCGTAAGGCCAAAAAAAATTTTGGAAAGTTAATATCTCATTGTGAATAATTCTTAAGGTTTGCCATGTTTTGTATTTCATCCCTTATTTAGCTACATTTTAATAAAATGTCGCCAAAAATATCTTTTTAAGTTAGCCTAATTAGAAAATATTCTAATGATTATAATATTAATATGATAATGCTGAAGTTTAAAGGCTGAAAGAAAGAACTCGGCACATGTGAATTACTTTCAAAAGATATGATGCAATAATATAATGGCGAGTTTTTTAAATCTGCGGCGTAAAAAAATATCGGAAGCAGTAACCCGGAAGTCTTGAAAGAGCAATTTTATCACTAGCGCCACCACCCTCAGCTTTACACGATCACCCATCCATATGATTGTCGTCAGGGAAAATTTTCCTTATATAGTATTTTAAAGCAAAATTACGATTTAGAGAAAATCGAATTAAATTTTCCCTTCATGCACTTGATCAAACTGCATAAGATATGTATATATTCTTTCATATCTCAAATGTACAATGAAAAACGTAGCAATAAACCTAATAGAAAATATTATTTTTTAATAAAATTTTACCTTTAATTTAAATTATTCAACTCAGTGTTTATATTTTTTTCGCAGAAATAATTATGCTGAAATAATTATGTTTAAAAAAGTTATAAGAATAAAGTAGAAATTTATATTATTTGGAATTATAAAAATTTATATTTATTCGGCTATTGGCGACGGTCAGGGAAACACCCCTGAGGATGATCCGAAGACATGCCATCACAATTTTGATCCTCTGCAGAGGGGATTGGCACCTCCGCTTCGGTAGCCCGACGACCTGCACGCGAAGTCGAGCACTTTTTGGTAGAACAGTTTAACGAGGACCAATACCGCACACCCTTGATCCCTATGCAGACTAATCGAAGTTGTCACCTACCCGCACACTGACCGCAGCCAGTGATGCTTTACTTCTGTGATCTGCTGGGAACCGTGTCTTAACGATAAATCCACTGCGGGAGTAATAAATTTGAAGAACGACAATTATTATCATGCCATTCAAATAATTTTCTTCAGAAAGAAGAAGCGGCAACAGCAAAAAAGATAGAAAGAACTATAGATAGAACTATTAAAATTAATCAGTTTGGTCAATTTCATTAAAAAATTTTAAATAATTTTATTATTTATTCAAGAGATTCGTTATTGGATTAAATTCTTCCTTATTATTTGATAATAAATCTTCAGTAGTTTAATAATAATGATTCAGAAGTTATGTTTGTAAGAAAAAGAGAGAGAAATATTCCGTTTCCATAAACTGAAATTAATAGATTTGATACAATTTATCTGAATTAATTTTGCTTAAAATAATTTTCTTTACGGTTAGTTTTCCAAGCCACAAAGAGTTATAGAAAGGGAGATATTTTCCTATAATCTAAAGATAATAGATTTAATAGAATTAATATATTTAGTCCTATTTACTTTAAACAGTCTACATTTGAAATAATATTCCAAATTATTAGTTTATTCAAGTAACAGAGAGTTACAGAAAAAATTTAATATTCCTTAAAATAAAATATTCCTGTAATATAAATTAAAATTAAAATATTTGATCCCATTTACTTGAATTAGTCGTTTAAAGTAAGATTCAAAAATCTTAGTTTAATCAAAGAAGTAGAGAGTTTCAAAGAGAGAGAAATTTTTATTTTATCAAAAATTAATCAATTAGGTAAAGTTCAGCTTTTTCTTGTAAGTTCCATCAAATTATTTTCAATCGAAACAAAATGAAAGAAAAACAGAGATGAAGGAAAAGTAACTATCCTTTCCCTGTTATTTTATCAATCAATTTTCAATTTTGTCAAGTTCATGACGTTTTTCAAAATAAATGCTTGAAAAATCTATAGTTTTTGCTAGATCAATGGAATCGGAGTTGGAATAAGAGAAAAATTTGCAAGAGTTGGACAAATTTGCACAACTTCGAATTCAATATGTTAAAAGTTAGATCCAATAGATTAAAAAAAGAACAAGTATTTTTGAGGTTATAAAAATTATGGCATAAATTGATCATAAATTGATGACGATGATGATGATGGTGTTCAACAGTAGCTGAGCCCCTGAATTAGGCAGTATAGGAGCCTTAAACAATAGCAGTCTCCTTTCACGACAGTCTTTGGTTTCCCGTTATGTCAAATGTCTGAATAATGATGGTAATTGAGTAGAAAAATAGTTTCTGAAATACTCTTTTATATAAAAAATAAATTTTGGTTTTAAAGTGAAGAAAAATTACGCGAGTTTTACCTACACAATATTTGCTTTCCGGACAAGCCTTGCATTTAATGTTAGGAATCATTTCAAAAATTCAACTCTTAATAGAATAGTAAGAGATACATACCACCATAGTTTGGTGCTGTGGTCCCCCAACAAGCTCCGGATAAAACAATAAAAAAGGGAGAAAACAATGGAATCAAAAGTATATAGTAGAACCAGTTCATATCAAAGAAGGGTCTTGGAAGTTTATGGAAGATGAGGATCGGGAGGATGTATAGGAAGCATGAGATCGGACATCAGATCCTTTTTACTTTTCATTGGATCAGAATTCGCACTGTAAATAAAAATAAATAAATAAATAAAGTAACTATCAAAATATCAATAATATAAGTATACTAGCAAAACAGAGTTTAGCAATCTTAGTTTAAGTTCAGAAAACAAATACGTACTGTGAGCCATATAAAAAAAGGTATCACTTTGATTAATGTTTGTTCTAATGATCAGACTTTCACGTACTAAGTGCAAATCTTAATGATTTAAAAACATAACTCTAAATATGCTAATTAATAAGTTAATAACACTTAAGTTAGGAAACCAGACGCAAAGACATTTTTATCTCAATAAACATATCTTTTTGTTTTTGATGAATTTGAATTCTTATCCATCAAAATATGAGAGGTATCATATAGTTCAAAGCGTCCCAAAACTCGTAAAAATATAAGTTTTTTTTTTTCTCATTTACTGATTTAACTGCACTGCATGTAATTTTTTTATTCGAGGGAAAATGGACACGAGTACTTGAACAAATGTTCATTTTATTATTTTTAAATAAAGTAAAAGTACTATACGACATATTTTTTTTTCCTAAAATATCTATAAAATTTTCAAAAATTTTATAAGGAGGAATCGAGAGCTATTTTCACCGATATCTTGTTGATTGGTTAGCTTCCCTTGTTTCTGCTCTGTACCGCTCAGTATTTCAACACGAAATATTCTGGACAGTAGCGGGTTCGCAAATTAAAGTACCATTACCATCAGGTAAAGAGTGGAATGTGTCCATGATTTTTCTTCTCAAAGTAACACAAACGCAAATTTATTTATCCGAAATTCTTTTATCTTCTAAGTTAAGTTTAATACCGCACAATTACGGTATTATACATACAGAAAAAAATTGCGGTAAAATTACCATACTTTATATGAATAACGTTTCAGTTTAAAAAAAAACAACATAATTCTGGTAATGAAAAACAAAATATATGGTATTTAAACCATCATTTAATTATTTTTCCATCCATATTGTAACGGTTTAACAATAATTCTGATTTTTAAAATTGTACTTCTTATTACCACATATATTGTAAAAAATACAAAACTGAAAAGTTAATTTAACCAAATTTATGGATTTGTGTGCCATGTTCTAAGGTAGTGATTCTCAACCTTTTTTTGTCGCAGCACACTTTTAACGAAGTCAAAATTTGGCGGCACAAAAAGAAAAAGATAAGTTTAAAAATTGTTTACATACCTATAATACACTGTGTTAAATAGTTTATGATAATAATTTGGAATGTAAAATAAAATAACTTAATATGTACTACACAAACACGTTTATTAAGGGATTAATTACAAATGAATAATAAGAATACTTTTAAAGAAAAAATTTGATATTGATGTTTTTTGATCATTTCATTTACATTTGGTTGTAAAAATGACAATGCTACTCTCATATCGTCTTCTACATTTAACAGTCTCGATCTTTCTTTTCGTTTTTATGTTGGTTAATACTGAAAATCCGCATTCACACAAATAAGATGTAGAAAATTGTAATAATATTTTTAAAGCTTTTTGGCTATCATGGGATAATCGTATCTAATGGTAATCCAAAATGAATTAATTGAATGAATTAATTGATTCTTCCGAATATTTTAAAATTAAACCTCGATTGTTAGAAAGTGAAATTAGTTCTTCCTCTCCTTTCAAAGTTAATTCAAATACGGAAGTATTCGTTATCACAAATGGATTACGAACCCAATCCATTCTTTTTATATCTAAATTTGGGAAATAATGAATAATTCTCTCCTCTAATGTTGTCAAATGGCAATAAAAATTTTATGAATAGTTTTATTAAAATATGTTGGGACTGAATGACTCAAACTTTTCCAAATATCCTTCCTGAGCTTTATTCTTCCATAATGTTATTTAATTTTGGAATCCCACCAGTTTATCCGTTGAGTTTAATATATTTTCTTTCTGCCCTTACATACTTGAATTTATGTTATTAAAAATAACAAAAATGTCTGATAGGTAAGCTAGCTTAGCACACCATATTTTATCTTCCAACAAATGAACAAAATCATAATTTTTATTTTGTTNGATTGTTAGAAAGCGAAATTAGTTCTTCCTCTTCATTCAAAGTTAATTCAAATACAGAAGTATTCGTTATCACACATGGATTACGAACCCAATCCATTTTTTTTATATCTAAATTTGGGAAATAATGAATAATTCTCTCCTCTAATGTTGTCAAATGGTCAATAAAAATTTTATGAATAGTTTTATTAAAATCTTTTGGGACTGAATGACTCAAACTTTTCCAAATATCCTTCCTGAGCTTTATTCTTTCATGATGTTATTTAGTTTTGGAATCCCACCAGTTTATCCGTTGAGTTTAATATATTTTCTTTCTGCCCTTGAATACTTGAATTTATGTTATTAAAAATAACAAAAATGTCTGATAGGTAAGCTAGCTTAGCACACCATATTTTATCTTCCAACAAATGAACAAAATCATAATTTTTATTTTGTCCAAAAAACATTTTCATTTCGTCTACACAAGATAAAACTTTTCCTCTGGACAATCACCTTACTTCCGTATGCCGTAACAAGGATTCGTACTTAGCTTCCATAGCTTGGCATAAATTACTACATGAGCGACTATTTAACAGTCTTGATTTTATATAATTAACCATTTTAACTATTCCAGAACTATTTTCAACTATTATGTAACGAATATTATTAAACGAAGNTTATAAAAAGTGCACACATATATACTTTTCTTTAATTTAAACTTTTCTCGTAATAAAAAAAAACATTATAATTTTTACTATATGCATTTCTGAAATTTAACGGCACACAAAAGTGTCGCGGCACAGTGGTTGAGAATCGCTGCTCTAAGGTATCATGATAAAATTACCGAAATTTACCACATTTGCTTATCACACATTGTGAAAAAATATTTCATTATTATTAACATAATTTTACTGTATTATTACAATATTCTTTTGCAAAATCATTACCAAAGCACTTCATCAAAGACGACCATGCTTTTTCAGCCAGAGAGCCAGAAATACTGTAAATTTAACCATATTCTATTAGCTTTAACCATATTTTTTCTCAATGTAGGGTAATCCATATTTGCCATTTCCCGATGTGGTAAAAAAATTTAAATAAAATAGTACTAAAAATCTGCCTTCTCCATTTATATGCTTTAGCTGATGCTAAGCTTGGATGCTTAGTCCTAAAATGACTTAGACATTTATTTTTTATAACTTGATTTCTTTTCAAAAAAAAAATACTAAAGAATAAATAAAAAAATAAAGAAAAGGAAATGAATGAGCCAATGATAAATTAGAAGATGAACTTATCAGCTTATGAATATATCGAGAATAATTCTTTACAAGAAATAGTGAAGAGCAGCAAAATTTTTTCCGAAATCAATTTTCCAGAATACGTTTTAAATCAACGAGTTTTTGAAATGCTGCAATGCTTAAAATATTTAAAGCGGGAATTAAAAATAAGAAATAAGTGAAATTGTCGATAAAAATCAACATTTTGTTTTTACACTTTTAGCTACTATTTTTAAAATATTCTGAGAGCTAGTAAAACCTTGCTTGAGTTATATTTCAAAACATTTTTAGTGAAAAACAACGAAATTTTAAGTCAACAAAAATATGTTTTTTTCATGTAAAGGAAGTTTTTTCTTTGATTTATTATTAGAATCAAATAAACCAGCTGTATTTCAGCTCATTCTACGCAAAAATATATTACTATATTTTGTTCTCTTTCCTTTTTTTTTAATTATAAGCAAAAACAGTTTCATAGTCACTAAAAAATTCTGTAAGATTATCAGAATTATTTTTGTACTGAAATATAACATCCGAAAAAATATTTCGATAAAAATGTTTTTTCTCATTCATATTTAGAAGTTTATTAATAATTTATTTTTATTAATTAAAGAAATTTCAACGATGAATAACTGTTTCTCTTAGATTTAAATAACTGCAAATAAGTACAAATTATAAAAAGAAAATATTGTCTGGAAGTGTTCCATGTTTGGAAGATTTTACCTTTAACTCAGAAAAAGACATAGGTGTTTCATGCTTTATTTCATAACCATAAGTTAATTGAAATGTTAAATGTAATATTTTTTGCTTATTTTGATTTTAATTAATACAAAATAATGAAAAAAGTATGAAAAATATATTTAATAAAAATTCTACTTCAAAAGGTTTACTACAAAGCCTTCATTTCTCTGTTATTTATGTTTTCTAATTTTTATCTTTCTATACAATAATTCAATAAAATATAAATCTAGTCTTTAGCTAATGAAAGGCATTTTGTATTGAAGTAACGAACATTACTGTTTCTATGCATTTGATATTTTTACATGGGCATTTATAATCGCGTAAAAGCTTAATTTTCCTATATTTCATTAAAAATAGTTTTACGCTGAAATATGGCATCTAAATAAATTACAATATGATTATAAATTAACAAGAATATAATTTATTAAATAAGTTAAGAAAAAATATGTAAAACTAAGATTTTTATAGCAGTTACAATATCGGCACTTCTAAAATAAAAAATTTAATGCAAAAGTAAAACAAAATTTGTCAGAATTAAGAGATTTTTAAAAACTAATCCATTCACAAAAGAAAAACTGTTCTTTTTTGTAAAAAATAAAAGTAAGTTTGTTTTAAAAATTATAGAAAATTTACAAATTAAAATAATAATAACAATATATTTCAAATAATAATAACAATATATTTAAAATAATAATAACAGTAAATTTACGCAAATATAACAGATTTTCTAACTACTTTTTTAAAGTTATAAAACGAAAAAATATATAAAACTAGGATTTTTAATTATAATAATATATTTTTAATATATAAAAACTTTAAGACGACAGTTACGATATCAGCATTTCTAAAATAAAAAGTTTCATGCAAAACAGATATAAAATAAAACAAAAGCTTTTAGAACTATGAGATTTTTAAAAACTATTCCATTCACAAAAGAAAAACTTTTCTTTTTGTGAAAAATAAGATAAATTTT